AACCACGCTGACCCTCAAGTGCTCAACTGCTGATGAGACCAGAGAAGATAATATTTTCATGACAGTTCGACCATTCTCTGAACTCCTTCCAAGCCCAGAATTCTCCTTCAGGGACAAGACAAAAAGACAAGATGGAACTCGCCATTCAGAAGGGTTCCCTAATAATTTTAATGTCTTTGTGAAAGCCAGTTTACCTTGGTTCCATTGATTAGCTGACCCTGTATGCCGCGACCCTGAAACACTGCCTGAGAGATGAATGTACGGGCAGCCCTCCCAACTCCCATGTTCCTAGCAGTTAATGTTATTTCTCAGGATCCCAGTATTACTGAGACACTCATCATGAGTGAATTCACAGCCCATAGAGGTGACTGTTTTTCTTTTTTCCGTAAGAACAAGCCAGGGCAATACTATAGCTTTTCAGCAACCATAAGCGACTCCAAATGCAAATTTGCAAAGCAGCTCGGTGGCTTCAGATCTGCGCAGTAAATCTCTTCGTGGTGCATTATTGACAGACGGATAGCCTTTCAGCCCAGGATGTTGTACTTGCTGTGGTAAAGGGCGCATATTGCTGATTGCTCACGAATAACCCCTCCAGGCCTGCCTCTCTTCCCCGCTATGGGATCAATATGCCTCTGACAAGCATCTGAAATCTTTATTTGGGAGAAAGCGCATTTCCTACCAGCTGTTTGTTTTCCAAACCAAATAATTCAGTTAATTTCTTGCCTGAATTAAATTTCAGGGCAGTAAATTCTCTCATCAGTGCTAAGGTGCTTTTAGGATGAGTGGAAACAGAAACGGGGGCACATTGCCCTTGTTCTCGTTGGCAGTGTAATGGTTCATGCTGCCCCTGTGCCTCTTAAATCCAAGCAGCCTTAACAGCCTTTAAAGAGCGCTCAGGGTCCTGGTTCACTGTGCACACTCTTATGAGTGGTGGTTATGGGTGTTTGATCTGAAATCTGGCGCCCTGCTTTGAATTCACCCACAATGTAACCTATGCCAGGTAACCTAACCTGAAACTAAATTAGGCCTCAAGTTCCTCATCAGTAAACTGGAGAAATGTTTTCAGTTCTTTGTATTACAAGTACTCCGTATGTCACAACTTTGGATTCCCTGCTATCCGCTACTCAGAATGTGGTCCCCAGACCTCTTTGGGAGCTTGTTAGTTGTTCAGAGACTCTATACTCTTTGTCCTCAAGACCTTGTAAATCAATATTCATCTTACTCTGGTGTTTTTCTTTTTAATTTGACGCTTAAAACTTGAGGAATGGGGCTCTAGTTGCCTAATCAGTTTTGTACAAGAAAGCATATTGGCTGTTTTAGTATATCTCAGCCTGACAAGAAAGTCTGCATCCCTTGCCCTGTGACAATGAAAACTGTCATCCGACAGTGCTTTCCTTGACTCTGGGGAGTGATCTGACTTAGGTGGTCTTTATCTGGGGACACTCTTAACGCTTCTTGCCTCCCTCCATTTATACAATGAATATATCGCAGATGAAATACCCCTGAGGGTCGCTGTCTACACGCATTAGAAATATTTATTAATAGCTTTTATTTGGAAGACAGAGAGCTGCCTGTTAACCCTAATTAACCTGAGCTAGTTAAAGGCACCAGCTTAGAATGCCTGGTCCTGGCAGCTGATGGGATAGCATCTGAGAACCACGTAATCCACAGATGCTGCTTCAGAAAAGCTCAAACTCACTGAGTCATCTCCTCCCACCTCTGATGGAGTCAGGGTGGGGGACAGTAACGAGTCAGATCCCAGAGAGAGAGGCTGAAGCGAGCAGCAGGAGGGTTGCTCCTACTCCTCTGCTGCAGGCAAGGCTCATGTATTCATCACCAGGCCAGGCTTTTATTTCCTTGGGGAGTCTACCATCTCTTAATCACAAAAGCAATAAGGACTTCCAATATGTTCCTCGGCCGTGCCTAATCAGTTGTTCCAACTGCCAGTCATCAGCCACGTCTGGAAGTTCACTGAAAAGCCCCAGTCCAGCTTTGAGCATAGCACTGACCCCCAAGGTGACACAGACAATGAAGACCAACCCCATGGGCAGCCTGTGTGTGCCAGCTGATTTGATCACAGCAGTTTTGTTAATATTGCCCTGTATTCTGGAGAGATGTGTTTGCTTCCTTATGCTTTGATCGATAGGCCGCATTATGTGCCCCATTGGTTGAGTTGGGAAAATCATTTTTGAGAGTGTATGGAAGGAGACTTTTCCTTTTGCAAGAGACTTTACAATTTTTCCTCTTGAGGTTAAAATTCACTTGGCAAAGCCTGAGCATTTATCTGTAACCATATGGTATGAAAGGCAGGTCTGGGAGAAGCCAGCAAATATTCAGACTCAAAGCATTAGTAGAGATTAGCACCTGGCTGGCTGGAATATTGTGTTTAAATGAATAAAATAATACCATTGGACTGCAGTAATTAGGATTTTTTTTTTTTTTTTTGGCTTTTTTCTCCGGCACCAGGAACCGAACTCACGACCTTGCGCTTGCCAGGCAGGTGCTTTTGCCACTGAGCTAAATCCCCAGCCCCTAGTAATTAGGATTATATTCTGGTCGCTTGGTGTAATAAGGTCAGATGTTCCTAGAAATTAATGTAGATAGGTGAGCCATTTCCTGTGCCATAATGGCAATTTCTGAGGAATACAGGTCTTTGGTAGAGGCCGAGGAGAAGTCTATTGAAGCCATAAGCTGACTCCAGAGAGTTGTCCATTTTATGGATAGGTGTGTAAGACGGGGATTGGAAGAATATTGGAAAGCAATTTTTGGGTCTCACTGTTTCCTCCAAATTTTTGTCACTGTTTTGGTCCCAGGTAACATCTACAAGCAGCAGTCATGCCCTGGACTCTGCATTCAAAATGCTCTATGTAAACATTGCACTATATGCTTCTACGAGGTTTTAATATTTTCCTATTCTCATTCTATTTATTATGAAATAGAGGCGAGATAAGTAGAATGACCGAGAATCCTCAGCCTGTGCTTTGAGTGAGTGGCGAGTTATATATCCCAAATTTCCCGGCCTATTTTATTGTAGTTAGTGCTAAATGTAACTTCTGTAGCTAATACAGACCTCTGGAAAGCACCGGGCTTTCTTCGGAGCCATACAGTGAAGCAGAAAGTGTGCATATCAAGCTTTCCTGTTGCCCACTGGGCAATAATAAACACAAACACACGCATACAAAAACACCTCCAGGGGAACATAAGTGATGGGTGCATTCAGCAACTACAACAAAATAAATGCGAGAGCTAACATTTCTACACTAAAGAAGGAAAAAAAGTTGGCTATGTTTTCACAGTGTCTCTGTGACCTCTTATTATTCCATTAGTTTTTGGAATAGTACATAAAACATCAAGCTCCATGCTGACAAACACCAATATTAAAACTATTGCTACAATCACTCCAAGCAGCCTTCTCCCCTGGGTGAAATTATTTGGAATACAAGCAGAATTGTGGTTCCCCGAGCTGGCAGAGCATAAATGAGGGTAGTGATTCATAAGGTGACTCTAGCGATTTTGCAACCATGCAACTTTCATGGAAGCGTTCGTGCATGCGTGCTCACACACACACACACACACACACACACACACAGCAAAGGGTTGCTAATGCCTTTTTGAGCTAGTAACCACTTTCTGACCTCACCACCTCTCGAGGCCTGGGAGCGTTGTGAGGGGTGCAGACTTCTGAGGATGAGCATTAACCTGACACAATGATGGTTTACCAGAAATAAACCCTTCAAATTAGATCACACCCCTGTCACTAGCTTTTTGAGCGGGAAGATGGTATTTCTGCCTCTTCACATGTTCCTTTCAGTACTTGAACTCTTGTTCCATTGGATTAAGCTTTTGGGGGCTGGGTCATCTAGGGTCTTAAGTCTATCCTAGAGAGGTCGGAGGAAAGTGTTACCGGTTTAAAAATACAACTCCCTGAACTTTTAAACCCTAAAATCTTTCTAATAATGTGACTTGTCTTTCTTAATCGTGAACTTGATTTCTTTTATTTTTTAAAAAACCCATTTATTCTTCGATATTAGTAGAGTAAGTTCAGAAAGAACAGGTTTGTACAGAGCTTTGTGCAGAGAAGGGGGTCAAAGAGAGCCGGCATAATGATGCCGGGATGATTGCACAGTACTGAGATGTCTGCGGAGCGGGTCCCAACACTGAGAGCCTTTCTGATAGACTCTGAGAGTGACAAGCTCCAGGTCTTCCCTGACATTGCACCCATTAGCCAGTCTAAATGGGCACATACTCAAGTTTGAGGTCACATACAGCTCTCAAAGGCAAGTCTGCCCCTGTGAGTGGGGCTCTAACTCACATTGTGTCATAATAGGCGAAGGTCCTGGAGCTGCGTTTGAGTCCCTTTTTCTTATTTTGTGGTCTTGAGAGAGGACTTCTTTTTTATGAAGATTGAGTATATTCCTCCTAGCATCAGGGAAATGCTCAGTCTAGTTAGACTTGAAGTTAAAAGGGTATGTAGGATTCTGTGCTGGTGCTATGATCAGGGAAGCACTGATTTCATTGCTTTGATTTAGCAGTGACAGAAAGAGCCTGTCCAAACCCATGAGAAGTACAAGACGCCCTGCCTTGTGCCCTCCTGCTCACCTAATCAAATACTCTGTTACCTGACTCTTGTCCTCTGTGTCTAAATGTGTGAATGCAGAAACCTTTGCATAGATGTGAAAAGCACAAGACTGGCTAATTATACACAGTCCAGACAGGGAGGTGGCCGGGGACAACAGCAGTAAAGAGCCAGGCCCTGACTATCAACTTGGAGAAAACCGAATATGAGCACCTGAGATGGCAGGCAAGGCCCAGGACCTGAGGAACATGTTCCTCCAGAAAAACACAAGCTGTGTGTGTGCAAGAAGGACAGAAGGTTCCCTAAAAGCCACCTAGGGAAAAACAAACAAGCTCCCAGAATATGCTTGCTGTCAGCCTTCGGTGTGTAGAGAGTGTGGCTTCTGTTGGGGCGCAGTCTCATGCTTCTTCTCCTTTGCTTTCAGCTCCCATTTTCTCCAGCAATCACTCGAGCCGAAGTGGAACAGCTGCTGGGGCCGGGCCACCCCCACATCTTGTCAGTCACCCTTCTCCGGGACATAATGTACAGGGGAGCCCCCACAACCCCCCCTCCCAGTTACCTCCACTCGCAGCTGTGGACGCAGGAGCTGAGAGGTAAGGCCATCTGTCTCTCTCTCGTCATAGGTGTTGCCGCCAAACCTCCCTCCGTGGAGAAGAGCTTTGACAGTTGCTGAATTTTATTAATAACCTGTTGGTGGGTTGAGTTAACCAAAGGTGACATTTTAAAAGTAACATACACAAAGCACGTGAACCAAATATCTCACTATGTTATATTTTTCTGTGGGAAAACAAATGAAATGGAGCTGGCAATAGCCAACTAAAATGTCAAGTGCTGGAAAAATGACTTAGAATGTCCCTGTCTTTCCCATTTTCCTCAGTTTGTTTCAGAGATTCAATTTTAAGGTATTGTATGCACAGGTTGAGATGCTTTCAAGATGTAAAAAGGTACCCTGGTCACGTACATGGTAGTGTGAGCTTATGGGCTAGTTGCTTTTCCTTTGCTGTGACAAAATACATGAATAAGTAAGCAAACTACAAGGAAAAAAGGTTTATTTTAGACGACAATTTCAGAGTTTTCAATCTGTGGTCACTGGGCCCTTTGCTTTGGGCTTGTGGCAACACAGTATATCATAACAGGAGAGCCTGGTGGCAGAACCTGTTTGACTTATGGGGGCCAGGAGGCAAAGTGAGGTCCTAACATCTTTCCCTGACTTCCTTCCAGTAGGTCCTGCTTCTTAAAAGTTTCACCACCTCCTAATAGCACTGCAGGCTGGTAGCCAGGCCTTCAGCACAGGCCTTTGGTCCTCTGCAAGATCTGAGCTATAGCAGCTTGGGAGCCGAACTTAAAGGGCATGGGATTTTATATGGGTGATCAGAAAGGGGCTGTTCACTGAAAACCTTATATTACTATCATCCTCATAAAGGGTTATGGGTGGGAGAATGGTTAAACTGTGATCTTCAAGATAGTTTTATTTCTGAATTTTCTACTGGTTCTAGGAGTTTTGTGGGACCCTTCTCATACTTTTACCAGCTCCCTGCTAATCAATCCCACATGTGCTTTCATGGACCACAAACCAAACAAGAGTCTTTTAGAAGGACACAGTGATCTGGGCATCTAGAGAAGATGCTTTCTAGATGGATAAATGTGGGGCAGCATCCCAGACAGCAGGAGGATATATACAAGAGGTGAGGACACACAGCAGGGCAGATTATCGACAGCTCAAGATAACAGAATCCAGGGTGCGCGAGGCTAATGGAATCAGATGATAGTGGACTGGCTTGTGTGGAATTATGTTATTTTATGCTAAGCAACTTCGCCCTTATCCTGCTTGAAGCAAAGAACCATTATAGCCTTTTTGTTAGGTGATATAATCAGATTGATATTACAGAGAAGGAACTTGGGACAAGACGGGAGAGTTACTGAGGTTGGAGTGGGAGATATGGAAAACAAGGTGAGACTGTTGCAGGAGTCCTTGTGAATAGTAGGATGGCATGTGGTAAGGACAAGCAGTAAGGAGAATTTGTTCAAGGGTTTTGTTTAGGGGAAAGAATTTCTAGTTATTAATATGTATGTGGAATAAAGGGGAGGGGCCAAAATGCATCCCTAAGTTTCACCACTAAAAACTGAGGTGAAAAATTGTGCCATTAACAGTAGTTGAAAATATAAGATGAGTGCAGCAGTGTGGAGGAAAAGAGGCCACTGGCTGAAGAGGAAGGGGAGAAAGGAAATGGTGAGTTAACTTTGGGAGTTTGAGTCTTACGTGACTGTAAAAGATCCATATGGATATGCCTAATGGATCATTGAAAACATGAATTTGATGGCCAGAGTTATTTTAACAGTTATCTATACACAGTAGACAATTCAGGAGCCTCCTTTCATCCAGGATCAGTCAGCAAAGAAGTGCACATGGTGACCATCAAGTGCACAGATACCAGAACAAGCAACCTCTCCTTCCAGTTATCTCATGCAGTCCTATAAGTTGAGATGAGCCTATTTCAGCATTTTATATCATTTCTAGTCAGGTTGAAAATACTGTTAGCCATGGACTTTTCATTCTACCTAACAGAGAACTGCATCCCACATGGTAGTGAAGTTCACTGGGGTCAATGGGAACCTCCCTTTTTTCTCTGCCTCTCCTTATCTACATGAGTATAAGAAGAAGGTCATCACTGTGCTGTTTCCTTGCACACATCCTTTGAAAGAATATGTGGGGCTGGGGATTTAGCTCAGTGGCACAATACCTGCCTGGCAAGCGCAAGGTCGTGAGTTCGATTCCCGATACCGGAAAAAAAAAAAAAGAAAGAATATGTGCACAGAAAGATTTTAACCAGTATTGGAGCAAAAACAACCACCTTGACACCCCAGTTACTCGGATGGTTTCATCTGAGCTCTGAAAGTTGCTAATTGTTTGTCTCTGGACAAGTTCTTTAGTGACTCCTGTTATTTAGAGTTTTTTTTTAACACTTAATTTTATTCTGCAATGTTTTATATTTTTAACTCTTTCTTAAAATTTTGAGAATAGTACAAGGTATACCCATATACAAACCACATCCATATTCACCCATTGCTAATATTTTCCCATTCTCTCTGTCTCTGCCTCTGTCTCTGCCTCTGTCTCTGTCTGTCTGTCTGTCTGTTTCTTTCTCTCTCTCTCTCTCTGGAAGTCTGCTTGCATATCTGTTATTTCTATACCAAGAAAGGTAGTTGTGGATAACATTGAGCTCTGCCAATAATTAATCTGAGAAGGATATTTTGCTATATAAACCCAATATAATAATCGTACTTGATACACTTAACTATTACCTAATCATTAATCAATATTCAAATTTCCCCAAATTGGTAAATAGTGTCCTTTATAGCTGCTGTTTTTCCCCCTTCTTGATGATTTGGGACTCTAAAAATAATCACATAATGCATGTAGTTCTCATTTTTTTTAGTCTCCTTGAATCTAATGAAGTTTTTATTACTTTATATGTCAGAACACCAGTGGTTTTTGAAGAGCTTGGGATGTTTACTTTTTACAGTGTTCCATGGTTTAAATTTATCTGAGTGTTGCATTTTGGGGTGGAGTAACACATAGCTGATGTGGTTTCCCTTAGCTTTTTTGAAAATTATTTTGCACCTCACAGAGAATTATGATTAAATGAGCCAAAGTGAATAAAACATTTAGTATGTTGTGTGCTGTGAAGCAGACATACTATAGGGCATGTATGGATATTCATAAACAGACCGGCTTCCTTGGAATAGCAGAGGGAGTTAGGTTTGGAAGAAACAGGATATTGTTAAATGGTCAACAGGGTTTATTATGTAGATAATCATGGAAATGAAGAAGAAGGGGAAATGGAGAGGAAAGACAGTATTTTATGTGGATGAATGAATGAAGAGGATGTTTGCATTTTCCTGTTTGCTGCTATATTCTTCCCATAGAATGTGTGACCTGACCCTTCACCAGCCCCACTGGAGCGGGCAAACGGGAATGTGGTAGGTTACCCCTTCGGATCAGTCTGGAGAGGAGGGATGACATGAAACAGCCCTAAATCATTCACTGTGTTTGCATTAGTGACCAGGATAAAAACACGAAGAGGAAATGTGCTTACCTTCCGCTTTTGGTTTATATATCTTTGCTTCTGTTTGCCTGGGAATTCCCCCAATAAAAACTCTAGCAGTTTTCTTAACGGAAATAGGTTTATCACACTTTGCACTTTTTAGTGAGACACTGGCATCTTTTCCTGCTTTGCGAGCATTGATTCATCATTTGCTTGGCCTTAGCTGGTTAATAAAATAGGCTGAGTCACTGTCAGAAGTCAGGAAAGGTCCACAACATCTACCCACTTAGCATTAGGTCCTTTGATCTTAACCATCATAAAATAAAATAAATGGAACTTCTGTTAGTTTGACAAGCTTCCATTTGTATTTTGAAATGTTACCTGAATGACACATTATTTCAGTGACTTTAGCAGAACCACACCACATTGCCTAGCATGGATTTGAACTTACCATGGGAAATGGTGTTTTACTATGTCATGTCCAACACACCAGTCAAGTACAAAGTCAGTGGTACTTTATGTTTATGGCTTCCGGTGAGAGGAATTTGGCGGCTTTGGAAATGTTAATTCCCTGGGTTTCATAGTAAGGCTGTTAAATCAGTGAAAACAAAAATACTGGTGGGCATTCCTGTTTGAAATGGGGAAATCTTTGCTGTCCCAGTAATAAGCCAGCTGGGTTTGTGTTGTTCGTCTTAAGAGATGTCATTTGCTTCTTTCCTCCTGAAGGCCACAAGTGTGGTGTGCTCTGCAGGGTAGGTGACAGAGCTTAAGGAACTGTGGGCTGAGCTCAGTGCGTTTTGTTTTGTTTTGTTGAGTACCTCTTAAGTGTTGGGAAACCTTACCATTTTTCACTTGGAATGCATTATTTTAGTTGTGATATTTCTAGACTTCTAGGCACTTTTATATACTTATGGTCTTTCCATGCCTCTCAGTATGCAAGACTGACTTTTGTAGGTACCGTTGTTAAATTCATCATGGTAGATATTAATGTTGCCTGTCTAGACGTTACTGGTCAAAGACCAACAGGCATTTTCTGTGTAATGGCTTTGCAGTTCTGTAGTTCCTGATTTCTAGTCAAGCCTGCCTGTTCACTGCTTCTGACTTACTTTGCGTGTATCTGCTTCCTAATTTAACATCAACTGTTACCTGAAGCCTTTCTTTCTTTTGCTGACCTTGGCCAGATATTACTTGGCCTTTGGAGCTCAGCTTCATCTTCAACCCAGAGAGCCTCCCCTGTGTCCCACAGTCTGCAACGACAGGTCCCCTGTTGACTTTCTTGGTTCTTATTATGTGTTTCATGAATTTACCACGTTGATGAGGTTATTTGCTTCTGGAAGGCAGGAACCGTAAGTTTTTTCAAAACCTCCAGAGTGCCTTTTTCTGAGTTACGCCATGGTAGATGCTGACGAAGGTTTAACAAGGGATTCAGTGAGGGGAATGCCTAGGAAACAGGAAGTCACTGCCAACTTACCCTGTCCAGGTGGGAAGTTCCCAAGCAGAAATTAATTTGTTTATGGAAAGGGCAGGACTTAAATCTCAGTTTCCAC